TAAGTCTGATTCCCTGTAAAGACTTCTCTGTTGACACCCACCCCTTGGCGCTCATATGACCTATGCAGTTGCGAGCGCCGTAAAACCATCTACTAAAAAAAAAAGAATAAAAGCACATGCACATGTACTGAAGCTTTAGTCCATTCAGAACCCAACAACCTTCCTCTTTTCACTTTCGTAAGAGTTTAACGCTTATTGAAACACAAGACGGTCATATAAGTGCCGAAGATTAGAGGTGTTACAAACACAAAATAGATGGAAGGGAGATAAGGACGATAGATGTTTGATAAGAAAGAAGGAGCAAACCACACCAGAGCACCCGCCAACCACCCGCTCATGGGGACTGTTACTTAGAGGCTTTCGTTTTAGTAAGAGAGTTTCACGGCACTTGCAACACAATAAGGTCATATAAGTGCCAAAGATTAGAGATGTTACAAGAGAGTTACAAACACAAACACAAAAAAACAAGGAGAGATCAGGACGATAGATGTTTGATAGGAAAGAAGGAGCAAACCACACCAGAGCACCTGCCAACCACCCACTTACTTAGAGGCATCTCCTCGATATTTCCATTGTAATTAATGCAAAGTAGGCTACCAAAAGGAAGACAAAAAACCCCCCAACAACGACCAAACACTAGAATAAAATGAGGACAATAAATTTATTTCCGACTTGGTCAGATGACAGAACTTATACACAACAAACAACTCCCGCTTATACAGCAGACATATTTCCTGGACTTTAGTCTTGTTGCATTTATACAAAACATGATTAGAAATGAAAAAAAACCCCCAACAAAACAAAAACAAAAGAAAGCCAGACTTACAAAAGACAAAATTTTAAGTCTTTATAATTAACTCTTGTTGATGTTGTGCTCGGTAAAAGAATATATTAATAAAATTGTACCCCCCCCCCCCATTTCTGTACCAGGGACCAGAAGACGAATCAGTCACAAAACTATGCTCGGGTTAAGCTAAAAAACGTTTTAAAAACGTATCAGTCAGTTTGTGAAAATGCTTGTTCTGTGTCCAAAAATGTAGTACCTGTAAATTGAAACCTCAAAAAAGACCCCAACAAAACAAGTAGGAAGATATTTTGTCATTTGGAAAGGATGGGTTTCACTGTTCAGCGGTTGTACAATGAGATAGGGCGACAAAAATTGTCCCCTCCTTTCTGTGTCCAACAGTCAGTAGAAGATATAAATTTTCTGAATTCTTGACACGTTCAATGAAGAGCACTCGGATCTCTAAAGCCATTGATGGTGAATCTAGCGGACAAGTACTTTTAGTAAGTGTTTTATGGCACTTGCAACACAATAAGGTCATATAAGTGCTGAAAATTAGAGGTGTTACAAGAGAGTAACAAACACAAGAAAGAAAGAGGGGAGATAAAGACGATAGTTGTTTGATAGGAAAGAAGAAGCAAACCACACCAGAGCACCTGCCAACCAACCTCCCACCCGTGGAAAAGTAGACTTAAAAGTTTCAATAGGAAACATTTTTCAGCGACCTAGTAATAATAATATATCACCACGACACCTCGGTATTTGAGATTTTAATAACTCACCGACTCCTGGCCCCTTTCACCAGTCACTGGCGCTGAATACCGGCATTTTTGGGGGTATTTCAAAACGCCGCCACAACTCTCAGAATTATCCTATTGCTATTGTTTTTTGACACAGTAAAGTTACTTCAAGCTTAATCTAATAAAACAATTTAAGTCGTCCAAGTCTAATACTTTAATAATAGTGTGTGAGTGAGCAGTGTGTGTTGATGGGGCTGCTCCAAAGCTTGCCACATCTACTTCTCAAATAATCAGAATTTTCCTCAGTGTCTAAAAAAAAAGAAGAAAAGACTCAAATTCAAATGAGCAGGGTTTCCCCGTCTGTCATCTTTATATATTTATCCACTAACCAGCAACATATTGAAGGGAAAAGCAGAGAGACCATTGCGGCACTTGACCTTGACCTATGCCCGACTTGCAAAACACTCATAAAAACTGAAAACAAAACATCAAAACAAAGAAAATATATATGTATTGCTCAACCCCCCCCCCCCCCCCCCCCCCCCCCGAGTTTAGCTCAGATATCTTTGTCACCCTCTCCCAAACAGAACAGACAGTAAATTATTTTTCTACCAACAAACATCTCCTAGTACAAAACGCTAGTCCGTAAATTACAATGATGGTGAAACAGAAGCTACTCTTGGTGGGGAACAAGTTCCAAGTTTAATGCAAAACACATCTATACATATATAAAGTCAAATTCAATACAAACAATTTTCAACAATGCCTTTCCATTTCATCTTTTACGAATGAATCATTGAATGCTATGTGCATTGTGTTGACTGAAAAAAAAAGTTAACATAGCACTAGCAGACATCTCGAAACACAAATTTGGCCAGCAAGAACCCTTTGTAAGGACACGCTAAAAAAATATCCTGAACTAAAATCCAACACTTCGACTGGGACCATGATACAAACTGCCCAATCCGTGTCCAATTCATTCATCGCCCTAGGCAGACAGCAATGAGCACCCTACTAAAGAGCCTTCAGTGCCTCTTTCTTCATATCTTTTCTTCTTTCTCACACAGCGACCAAGGACCAGATTCCGCTGTATATCCTGTTTTCAAACACGCTGAGGGAGAAACGGGACAATGCGATGTCCGACACATCACCCCCCCCCCCCCCCCCCCAAACCTTTTTTTTTGGTATTGCAGGCCTTGGTGGTCTTCAAGTTCTATGCAAAGTGTGCCACTCAAAATAAATCATTACTCAGTTGAAACAAGCTATTCGCACAAAGAAAAAATAAGTACTCGCACTGCTGTGTGCTTTCACAAATTATATTGGGTACATCGAAAACAATTATTGGCCTCTCATATATTCATAGGTGATGACAAACAAGGTTCACAGCACACAATGCCAGAAGGTGGTCATCACCATCACATTAGCAATAACAACCATGACATAGACAAGATATTTACACACATAAAACAAAACAGATTTTGCATCATCACAAAATGTACACATTGTTGTATTTTTTTACTCATGGGAGGGAAAACAAACAGTGACAAAACAAAAGGGAAATAAAAGTTTAACAGAACAAACAATGAGCTAAGGGAGTGGAAAAAATGGCGTTGTCTCTTATCCTCTGTTGACAGTTAGGAGGAAGTGTGCAGGCAGGCAGGCATAGATCAAGCAAGACGTCAAGCAAGAGGTTAACATTATGCTAGACTGCTCTTGAACACCAAGGCTTGGGCCAACTGTGAAGCATCCATTTGTAATATTCTGGTCCAACAACTTAGAGAAAAAACCCCCACGCCTTTAAGAATAATAAAGGGGACAAATCAAGAGACTGATATTGCAAGTTGGAGTCCTGTAATACAAAATAGTACTGCAAACGAACATCAGCAGCGGTGAGATCACACCAAAAGATCCTGCATTCGATGTAGAAGGGGTCTCCATACGGCTGAAGTGTAAACCATAAGGCAAAGTTCCACTATTTGCTTTGATTATACCTGTAATTTAGAGATTTAAAAAAAGGTATAAAAACTGGCATATATAATGTGTCCCCCCAGCCTGGAAAACTAATTGAAAATATTATGATATTCCCTGATAAAAAACTGATACATTTAACACAGCCGGATAAACCCAATGGTAAAAACTATATAACATTTAAAATTCGTCACAACAAGTTCAAGGTAATGATATAACAATTCAGTGAACACACTTGAGGCTTACAGGCTCCAAACTATAGTGTGCCTTAGCTCACTCTATCCCATGACCCAGATATCTCGGCCAGCTCACGGGCTGCGTTCAATCCCATGAACGAGATAACTCGGTCCAATAGTTTTGTTCCTTATACCTCTCCTTTTAGAAAACGGCCTCAAGTTTTTATATAACATAAATTTATTATTTCCACGGCCAGTTCTGCCTAGAGGGGTGCTGGGATTTGGTTCCTACTGTCATTACCAATGAAGAAATCGCGGTTTCTATAAAAGCACTTTCGGCACGTTTGCTCACACTGCTCAGCAGAGTACGTCTTGCAATCGATTCTCTCTCTGTGTGTGTGGCGTCCTTACCAGGGATGAAAACAGGTTTTGAGGGAAAAAAAGCCGGAAAATATATGGCGCACACGCACTGACTGAAATAAGAATACAGTGAGACTAAATTATATTTGTTTCTTTCCCTCTACAACAATAAATAATCTCTATTTAGTATATATAATATGTATTGTTTATAGAGTAGACTTTTGTTAAAAGCTGGGGCCCAAATGTCAAGTCGGCCGGAAAAAGCCGGAAGATTTACATTCCTGCCTTACAAAGTTGACGTCAACCATGATGCTCTAAAAGGTTGGGGAAAAAAAAAGAATAGATTTATTTGATATTTACTTTTTTCCAAGCTGAGATGATACCCCCAATTTTTTTGCTTTGTTTATTTTCCAAGCTGCGATATCTACTGTTTTTTAAATTATTTTGACTGGTCAAAACTGTTGATAAATAATTTGACAGTTCAGGCATTTCTTTGCTGTATTCTTTAATAAACAATAGTATTTATTTATAAAATTTGAAATAAAGATCAAAGGAGTAATATAACATGTGAGGCAGCATGGTGAAATCAGGCGCTCGTCAAAATAATGAAAGGGAAGAAACTGCCATTTTTCCCGCAGGTTTGGAAATTTTTTATCGAATTTTTGTTTTTTGGCTCAACACCTTTTATGCCCATTAAAACATATTTCAGTGTGGATTTTTTTACTGAAAACGATTAAATGCATAAAAAATGTAAATTTTAAGGTTATTTTACCTGAGAAACCAGGCGACCCCACCTTCTTCAATCGCAAAAATCTCTACTTGTATCCAAGATAAATGGGTATTGTTTTCATCTAAAGCAAGGCAAATGGACAGGCTTTAAGTTTAAGATGATACCAATAACTCCATATGCCAAAAAATTGACGAGCACCTGATTCCACCGCGTCATGACACATATAATATATACATCCTGTACAGGTTCTACCTTAATGTACATGTACATTTTGGTTGACGTCAACGGGGTGGGGGTGGGGGTGGGGGTTTGTCATTTTTGGCCAAATTTTAGCCAACGTCATTTGTGAACGGCCCAAGCTACTGGTCAGGTAAGACCTTTGCGAAAAGTTCATGAAAACTGGACACCCTGACAGGAATATTATTATCATCACTGCAATCTTTCAAAACAAAAACAACTTACCTATCACTTTTGAGGTTCACCATGAGAAAAAATTTCTGGTACATCGATTTCCTTTCCTATATTTTCGGACAATTCCGAGTCCACAGCTAATCTCTGTCCCTGAAACGGCGAATAATCATAATTTTAAAAAAGTCAAACACAAGGCACCATTAATGTGTATGGTACAATAAGCATTTCACATCCCTTAAAACCCTGAAACGGTAAATAATCATAATTTTTAAAAATTCAAATACAAGGCACCATAAATGAACATGGTACAATAACGGTTTCACATCCCTTAAAAAATTGCAACACAAGAGGCTGAATTGGAGCCCAATAACTCTCTCCAAAAGGACCAAACCAAACTCGGCAAGGGCCTTTAAAACTTCCCCAAAAATCAAAAGTTTAAGAATTTCTCCCCGGGGGAGGGGTGTGTGTGTGTGTGTGTGAGCGTGTGTGTGTGTGTGTGAGCGTGTGTGTGTGTGTGAGCGTGTGTGTGTGTGTGAGCGTGTGTGTGCGTGTGTGCGTGTGTGTCTATGTGAGTGTGTGTGTGCGTGTTTGTGTGTGTGCGTGTGAGTTTTAGTTTTAGTAGAGGTTTTACGGCGTTCGCAACTGCATAAGGTAATGTGAGCGCCAGAAGATGAGAGGCGTTACAAGAGAGTAACAAACATACAAAAGAAGAAGGGGTTATGGGAGATAAAGACGATAGATGTTTGATAGGAAAGAAGAAGCAAACCACACCAGAGCACCCGCCAACTACCCATTGTGTTTGTGTGAGTGTGTGTGTGTGTGTATGTGTGTGTGTGTGTGTGTGTGTATGTGTATGAGTATGGTTTGAACCAGATTGTCTGGAACATGGTATTAGGTCAATGACTGGGCAACAATTCTTTATTAAAAGAAAATGAATGCGTGTAACATGTACCGAAACCAGTCAGATGTTTATGGCTACTAAAAGGAGAAGTTCAAACATGCCACTCACACAAGCTAGGCTAAGAGAGGGAGAGGGGGGGGAGAGAGAGAGAGAGAGAGAGGGAGAGGGGTGGGAGGGAAATACAGTGAGTTATAAATGCAATATATTATAGAGTTATACTAAATGATTTGCTTCAAAACGATACCCCAGCATGATGTCAACTGGCCAAATGGTGTTCCAGGGACGTATCTGAAAAAGAAACTGACTTGGCGAATAGAAGCAGAAGAAGCAAACCACACCAGGACGCCTACTAATCACAACCTTTCCACTGACAAGAAGCTAGTCACAAATCTTACTAAACTTAGGCCAGGTACATAAAGCAGAAAACAGTCCTTGCCATGCTTGCCTGTCCTTTGCCATTAAATCCAGATTTGTCACATTCATCCGTGGGTGATTGCCCCATCTCTGATCATATTGACACAGGTGCCACTAGGTCTACTTCTTCTTCGTTTTGCATACTGTCTCCGGTACCCTGTCTTATGGGATAATCTTATCTCTGGCATTCTCAAAACATGGCTCAAATGTCTCCATCATTTCTTTTTCGTTGTCGTTTTGATAATTTTTTTATTTTCAATCCTGGTTCTTTCAACACTTTATTATTTGTGACAAATTTTGTTGACATCCCATTTTATGACGCCTTATGACGAGACACAACACGGAACATTTTATAGATAGCTCGCAATTCTATCAGATTTACGACCACGCACGCAACAATGGCAGACACTGGCCCATTATGTCACTCAAGGGACCACTGCATTCTTCGACAACCATTCTTCCATCATCAATTCTGTTTCTCTACAGACGCCAAACCCACTTCTCTTCTCTGAGGGGGAAGTAATGAGGCTTCCATTTCCGCCAGCTAATCTTAACCTTGTCTCGAAATAAAACAAGTACTCCTCCGAAACTAACATAGTGTCGCTATATAAGGCTTGGGTGCATTTTAAAACAAAACCAGTTTTTTGTCTGAGAGCTGCTTTGTCTCAAGAGTCATATTATACCACACATCACTCTATCATGTGATACACATTTTGAGGACGGATCCAAGACTTTGATCATCTGAATCAATACCAACTTGATAGCGATCAATCAGGCTCGAGGCCTTAGTGAGTGTGTCGCAAAAGGGGGTGGGGGGGTGAACAAGAAAAATGAGATAGACGGACACATATTCTCACACACACGCATCCGCACACATACACACAAAAACATACACG